CAGGAGAGTGAGGTGCTCCGGCTTTTTTCCGGGTCTCTTGTGCGAAGACAAACGGGTTGGCATAGGGGGAGGGGAGGTGGGCACGTGCTAGGAGGCTGATCAGGTGCGAGGCACAAGGATTCTCTGGACTGAGGTGGCGTCTTTGGAGAGGTGGCTGCTGGAGGACCTGGTTTGGCGTTGAGCCAGAGGTGGGGCCCTGGAGGATGAAGACCAGGTGTGTGTGGGCAACCTGATGGAGGTGGCTGCCGGGGGACCTGGCTTGGCGATGAGCCAGAGGTGGGGGCCCTGGAGAATGAAGACCAGGTGTGTGTGGGCGGCCTGATGGAGGTGGCTCCTGCTTCGATTGAGGAGCTCCAGAATGCGATGGGTTTTGACCTGGTAAGTTCAAGGTGCCTCATGGGCTCAAGTGGAAGTGACATGTGGGTGTTTGGATTTTGGGGTCTGGAGGTCTGGAGACAGGTCCTGGCCAGAATGTGGGGAGTCATCAGTGTAGTGGTGGTGAACAGTGCCGAGAGGCGGAGTGTAGAGTGAGCCATTTCACAAGGAGAGCATCCTAGAGGAAGGCAACGCGTAAAGGGTAAGGAAGAAAAGCCTTGTGCGTGTGTGAGCAGGGGCGGGGGGAGCTGGAATGCAGCTTGAAGGACGGCTCGGCTTTGGGTGCCTGTAGAGGGAGGAAGGCTACACCAGAGCCAGACCGTGGAGGCCTGCGAGGCCAGGCCGAGCGTCCAGATGCGTCCTGGGCTGAGTACTGTGCTGGCTGCCAGCTTTGGTGCTGGATGTGGCCTTGCCTCCTGCCCACGGGAAAGGACCTTTCTTAGTGCCTGAGCCCATGCAGAGGCAGCAGGGGTGAGCGGAGGCGAGGAACGGGTCCTCTTCTTGCTCACTTTGTCTTTTGTCTTTCTGCCTTCAGCCTTGGGGAACAGTGTGCCTCTTGTAAGAGCCCTTTGAAGGACACACCGTGGATGCAGAAAGACGTTGGATGAGGACAGCCCACCTGAAGTGAGGCACCCCGGCCAGACTATGGCTTTGGCCCTGGAATCCCAGGCCCAGGCCTCTCCCAAACCAGAGCCTGAAGAACTCCTGATTGTGAAACTGGAGGAGGACTTGTGGGGCTCAGAATCCAAACCCCGAGAAAGGGCCCGCGACCCTATTCCTGGCCCTGAGGCCTCCCGCCAGCGCTTCAGGCAGTTCCAGTACAGGGACGCGGCTGGGCCCCATGAAGCTTTCAGCCAGCTCTGGGCTCTTTGCTGTCGCTGGCTGAGGCCGGAGATCCACCTCAAAGAGCAGATCCTGGAGCTGCTGGTGCTGGAGCAGTTCCTGACCATCTTACCCAGGGAGGTCCAGACCTGGGTGCAGGCACGCCACCCCGAGAGTGGTGAAGAGGCAGTGGCCCTGGTGGAAGACTGGCACCGAGAAGCCCGGGCTGCAGGACCGCGGGTGAGGCAAATAGGCTGTCTTCCCAGGAGCGGGTTAGGGAAGGCAGTGGGGCTGTGAGTCGGTAATCGCCAAGACCGCAATGGTGGTCGGTGGTCGGTGGTCGGTGGCCGGTGGTCGGTGGCGGTTGGCGGTCGGCTGTAATTGTGGAGCGGCTGACATTTTGCTGAGCTTGTATACCAGGCACTACATGCATGTGTTAATTCACTTAATCCCCGACATCCATGACACAGGTACTGTTATGCTAATTTTGCCAATGAGGAAATGAAGGCAGAGAAGAGAGAGGACATTTGCTCAAGGTTACACAGTTGCTAAATGGTGGAGCTAGGGTTTGAACTCTTGGATTCTCACTGTAAATGCCCACATAAACACTACTCCACACTGCGTCCCAGTTCCCTACTCACCGTATGGTTAATTATGACTGTTTTGTACTGAACAAGAGCTTTTTACCTATACGTCATCTTCGGATGCTTACCCCAGAAATGTGGGGAGACAGAAAG